CCCGGGGGCCCCCGCCGCTCGCCGCCCCCGCCGCCGGCTGCGGCGGCTTGTCGCGCTGGGCCAGCTCCGCCGCGCGCTTGCCCTTGCCCTTGCCGGGTCCGGGGCTGGCGTCGCCCGCGCCCCCGGCGGGATGCTGCTGCTGCGGCTTGTGGCCGCCGCTCTTGGCGCCGCCCTTGCCGCGCAGCGACGCGCTTTGCTGGCCGCCGCCGCCGCCGCGGTGGTTGTGGTGATGCTTGGGGTCCTCGGTGTCCCGGTTGTGCAGGCGGATGAGCCCGATTTTGCGGAGCAGCGTGGCCATTTTAGGCTTGGCGCCGGCGCGGGGTTCCCCTCGGCTCCTGCCCCCGGAGCCCGAGAGCCAGGGCGCGGGGGACGCGGGGCGGCAGCGACCGGCGACCACTCAGCGGGGCGCGGCGCGGGCCCCCCCTGGCGCCGGCGGCCGTGGCGCAGCCGAGCGGGCAGCACGCGCGCTCGCTGGCCGCTGGGTCGCCGCTGTCATATGACGGGGCCCGCTCTGGCTCGGGCTCCAGCCGCCCGGGGAGGGGAAGCGTGGAGGGGACGCGCCGCGGCGGGCCGTCCCCCGGCCGGTCCCTGCGCGCAGCCCCCCGGAGCCTGGTGTCCGCGGTCCTTTGTGAGCGGCCGCAGCCGGGCTGGCTTCGAGTCCGAGCGCCGCCTCGGGCCGCGCCGAGCCGTCCGCAGCGCCCCGAAGGCAGCGAGGCGGCCGCGGGCTCGCGCCGTGCGCGCCCGCCGTGCCGTGCTGCGCTGGCCGCTACCGCGGGGCCTCGACCGCCGCCGCCGCCGCGGCTGCTGACATTGCAAAGGCGGCTGCTCAGTCTGAGCCGAGCGCGGCGCGGAGGGGGCGGTCCTGGCGGCCGGGGAGGGGGGCGCGGGGCGGAGCCGCGGGACTTCCTGCGCCGCGCCGCTTCCCCGCCGCCCGCCAGCCGCCCGGCTCCTGCGGCGACACGCGCACGGCCGCTGGGGGGAGACATCGGTGCGCGCCGGGCTGCGGGGTAGCGCCGCGCGGAGCCGACCGGCCGGCCGGAGCGGAGCGAGGGTGGGGAGCAGGGCGAGAAGGGGCACGTGTGTGCGCGCGCTAATGAGGGTCTCAGAGGCTCCGGGTCCTTCTGCCCGGGATCCAGGCTCTAACCCCGGCCTGAGCCTCCGACCTCACTTAACCTAGTTGGAGCAATCCGGAGGGGAAGGGGCGTCGGAGAAGGATGGAAAGCAACCTGTTTATTGATCCCGTGTGTACCAGATGGAGCCTGGTGTCCACACCGCAATCCTGGACCGGGGTCTGCGGAACCGGTGCTCTCCTAAGGACTGATCAAAGAATCAGGGCCTGGGGAGGAGGATGCGGGAAGCGTGTTCTCCGCAACCCGCTAAAGAACCCCTCGAGTCCCGACTTTAAAGGATGACCGTTCCGCGAATTCACCCCTGCGACCTGGCCTGGCTCCTCTCCTCTCCGCCACGCCAGGGGGTCCCTGTGTTCCAAAAGGGGAAGGAAGGGACCACGGAGCACTGGCTTTCGAGTCATTTCCAAGAGGTTGCGGGGAAACGCATCCGACTCTGGCGCCAGCGGGCGCTCAGGGCGCGGGGCGGGCCCTCTGCGGCCCTGGAGTCCCCGGTACCCGCGGGTAACCTCGGGACCGGCCGCGGAAGGGATGGGGATCCTCCTTCAACTTGGACGCTTTCATCCCTCCCCTCCCTTTCTGCCTTTAACTCATTGAAACTTATTTTTATCTGGTGAAATTTCAAGCAAAAAGCACTTTCAGAGCCCCAGAAGCTGGAACAACCAGGGAAGCCGTGAAGAGTCCAACGTTTGCAGGAATCGCGCCGCCGCGCATAGTCTAGTGTCTGTGGCCCAGCTGCGCAATGGGGAGGGGCGGTGATGATCCCCGCAATATAGGAGGAATCACCCCGAAAACCCAAATGGCCATGGACTGACTCCAAACTTCACCGCTGTTCCTGGTTTGGCTTTCATCTTGAGGAGCCTCTAAATTCACCAGCAGAGCGCGTTCATTCTGATGTCACCGTGACGATTGTTTTTAAACGTCTTTACCATTTTCACTTTTTAAAATTATTAAAAATTTTCCCTGTGAAAAATAGCTCTTCAGATCACCGCGGAAGTTAAGTTCAGACCTAACGGGCCTGTGGTTCGGTTTTCTAGAGTTGCTTCCCGGTAGAGTGAGGTGCCCGCCAGTCCTCGCCGGTTTGTGGCAATTGCATGCAACCCTGGGACGTGGTCCCCTGGATCGGTGACTATATATAAAGGTGCCTTTCCGTGGAGGCTGTTTTCCAGTGGGTGGGAGTGGGCAGTGCAGCAGACCAGGCAAGACCAGTGGCTGGTGACCAAATCTTGGCTGCAACTGACTGAGATCTAGTTGTCCTGGTCTCATGGGCTTTTTTGTGACCCGTTCTGTCCAGCTCTGATTTTTAAAGAGAGGTTGATCAGGAAGATGACAAGGTCTGTCTGTAAAGTACCCTGAGTTCATTTAACCTATGGGAAGAGGGGATGTGAGCAGATCGGGAGGTGACACTGGTGGGGACAGGCAGGCATTACATGTTTTATCATTTCACGGCCACAGAAGCCATCTCGGGTTTTATCTGACCCATTTTATTGGTAAAGAAACTGTGTTTCAAAGAAGCTCAGCAGCTAGCCCAGCTCAACCGTGTGCTGGGACCTACATCCTGGTCCCTGTGCCCCCAAGCCCTGTGCTGAGGTTGACCAGCTGCTCTAGACAGTACACTGCACTGCAGGGTTTCTGCCGGGGTTGGCTTTCAGTCCCAGTCCCAGAGGTGGAAGTGAGAAAGTCTCCATAGGTGTGATTATAATCCCCACAGGCCAGCTGACCTAGGGGGAGGCCTTGGAGAAACGTTTCCTACCTGAAGCAGGGGTGTCATCCAGTGTGGTTTGGGAATGGTTTAACTGAAATCCCAGGCAGCCATCTGTAAGGCCTTTAATTCTGACTGGAAATATTATTAGGGTGATCATATAATTTATTCTTAGGATGCAAGGATCACAGTTAATACTGATGCTGGGACAAGAGGCCAAAGCAGGACAGACTGACAGGTGAGATAAAGGTCATCTTAATTATTATCTACCTGTCACACTTTCAGCATCTCTGATCAACCCTTTAAAGGGCTAAAGGCAAATGTTAGTTAAAAATTGGAAACGACCTAAATTTACAACAATAGCGTAAGTGGAAGGTAAATTATACCTAATCCACTTGAGAGAATATTATGCAGCAATAACATTACAGTTATGAAGATTATATAGCAAAATGAAAATATTTATGATGTACATAATAGTTTTAAGTAAGAAAGCAGAGTGCAAAACTATATACACTATAGCTACAACTGCATAAAACTATGTGTAGGAAAAAAGACAAGAAGGAGGAAAATTGAAATGGTAACAATTATTACGTTAGTACAGGTAGGTATTCTCAACATACCCCCTCCTCAACCCTCCAGTCCGTGGACTCAAACATTTGCTTCAGTGATGGGATGCTAGCAGCAGCAGTGGGAAGAAGGGCCCCCTCCTTCTCCTATCCCAGGAGATTCTAGAAATTTCCACGTCACCAGTGGAATGAATGGGCACCTATCCAGCTTAGCAATGTGTAGAGGTTGCATTTTGTTTTTAAAATTATTCTCTTTTATTTGATTTTCAAACACTCTGAAAAAGAATATATTGCAGTTACAATGAAAAAAATTGTTAGCAAGTTTTTAAAAATTGGCTGATTGGTGATTAAGTTTACAACATTAAGACAGTTGAATTGAGAGCGTTTAGCAAAATAAAATAATCTCTAAGGACAGCTGTGGGTCTCTATCTCCTCCTCCCTTCGCAAGTAGTGATGGGGTGGGGAGGGGAATGGCTAGGGTATCTCTGCAGAGAGAGCTGAGGCCAATCTGCCGTGAAGAGGAGAAAGGGAGGGAGGCAGGGAGGGAGGGAAGCTGGTTATCACAGTCGTCCGTCGTCTGGGTATTGTGTTGTACCTGCCAGTGATCCTCCCATGAGCATTTGAATCAATGGTGCCAGGGGCCAGCTGTCTCCAGTGGCAGTTTTTATAAAGAGATGCAGAACTGGGTTTGCCCATTTATTCTTTGTCTCAGAGGACCGCATCCCCGTTTTTTTCCAGTTGGTCCTATTTCTTTAGGAGCCCCAGTCTCATAAAGGCATCAACCAGACTAGCTCAAAATATCAGCCCCCAATTCATACACATTGTTTATTCCCTTGAACGAAGGTGTTAAGATCACTGTCAAAATTCACAAACATTTTCTGCTAGAATTCACTGCAAGGCTGCATTGTGTTGATCTCTGGTGTCACCAGGTCCCCTGACCTATTATGGCATTCGTTCGTCGATCATCAAAGCCAGTGCTTAGATGGCACTTCACATCTCAAGTGTCATCCCAAGTACTATATATATATTATATAAATATAGATATTCACTTACTCTTCATAACAGCTTCTAAGTAGGTACCATGTTTAGCCTTCCTTTATAGAGAAATTAAGTAACTAGTCCAAAATGATACAGTGAGTGGTCAGTGAAGCCAGGATTCAAACCCAGACAGTTTCATATGGTGCAGCACTATTGCTCTGTGGGCACCTACTGCATGCGGTCATCACTGCAGAGACGGCAGTGAAGAAACCCTGCCCCCCTGGAGCTGGGGTTCTGGGGAGGATGTCTTTATCACCCTCTGAGCACTCTATAGAAAATTGCTCTAGCAGGCTCTAAAGGAAAGAGCTTGAGGACGTCAAGGAATGTTCCATACTCACCTCTGCATTTGCTCAAGACCCATGATGGAAGCAGATGTATTTTGTTATTTAATTGAAAACTCAGCCTTTCATTTTACAGCACAGACGTCTGAAGTCACAGCAGTGAGGATCTTCCCCAGAGTCACAGGAGGTGATGGAGAGGGAGCCAGGAGCCCCAGGCCTGATGCCTCATCCAGTGCTATCACAATGCAGTCTTCAAATTCCATAGGTTGTGCTATGAGAGGACAGGGCTCTGACAGCTTTCTGTCAGGATGCTTGCCTTGGGAACCCAGCCACCATGTTTTGAGGAAGCCCAACCTTCATTAAAGAGGCCACACATGTGGGTGTCCAACCATCGACCCAGCTAAGGTCTTTGCAGACAGCCAGCAGCAGGGACCAGACGTGAGTGAACTTGTCTTCAGACGGTTCTGGCCCTCAGCATTTGAGCCCTCCAGCTGAGGCCCCAGTTACTGAGCAGCAGAAAGCAGCCATCCCCACTGTGCCCTGACAGATTTTCCCACCCAAAGAAACTGTGAGGGATAAGAAAGAACACTGCTGATGTAGACCATCATGTTTTGGGCAACTTGTTACGCAATAATAGATAACCAATACAGTACAGGTCTTTCTGATTCTCACTTCCTCGAAGCCAGAAATGTGCTTTCCCAGATTTCTTGCATCCAGGCACAGACATGGGACCTGGTGTCAGCCAATCCGACACATCAAAGCAGAACTTCAGGTTAGAAGATGGAGGCTCCATAGGGGTTGGTCTTGGTGCGTGGACTTTGGTCAAACTAATTCACATGAAACTTTAAATAATATATAGCAGTGTTTTTATTTTGAAATAATATGTTTTGTATTAGGTAGAGCACTGGTTAGATTGCTTTAACAAAAAGTAATCTAGGGTCTCGAATAAGAAGTTTATTTCTCTTGTATGTAATAAGACAAGGCAGTTGCCACACGGCCTCCCTGGTGGCTTCACCTGCTGCCTTTTGCTCATTCTGGATGTAGCTGTAATTAAATGTCCAGGGAATTCCATAGGCCACTCATAGCCAATTCCACACCCATCT